AAAAAAAAATTTCGGACTTTATTTTATCTTCACGGTGAAAATGGCTACCGAATGCTATTATTGTGTGAAAATTCTCGATTTTATTTTTTACATTTTTAACTTTATAATGCTATGACATATTGAAAAGTGTATGGATCAACATTATTTTTTTATGAGAAATAATATTTTTTAATAATCCCTTTTTCATTCTACATACTTTATCTTAATTAGGATATTAATAATGAACTAGCAGATCATGTAGAATTTGGAATAGTCCACCATGATAATCAGATATCATTATACTTGATCCATCTATACCACGTCACCACTGTGCCGCGACCCCCCTGTGCTGGGTTTTTTGTAACAAAATACATTGTTTTTTTTATAATAAATTGTTTTAAATATAATAATTAATTAGTGATCTTAATAATGGACCTATTTTTTGGACATTAAAATCATGATCTTTAATTAATGAACCAATAAAATTGGACCTACTATTTTTGCTCTTATGTAAGTTAACCTTTCCTTTTTATTTGCTGGTTATTCCCTATGAAGGCTAATTTTTTTTTTAATTAGGCACTAAATTTCTCTTAAAATGATAATTATGTTAAGAATTTTATTTTTGGTATTTTAGCTTTGATGCGAAGCGGACAAGGTATTAATTTTACTATGATGTGTTTTTTTTTTTTTTTTTATTTCTGTTGCCACTTTTTCTCAGCTCTCACTGGACCGATTTCTTTCAAAAATACGTCAAAAGATCACAAATCGTATCTAGTTGAAGACATTACCCTTAAAAATTGAAAAAAATTCCCTCGTTCCCCGCAAATGGGGGAAATATCCAAAAAAATTACAAATTTAAAAATCGCTAATTTTCGAAATTTTTTCACTTTTTTTTCTTAAAACTTCCATAACTTTTTGAAAAATCAACAAATCAACATAATTTTTTTTTATACTAAAACCTTAGATATTTACCTTTCATTTGATATCATTTTTTTGAAAATCTATCACTTAACCTGCTCATTGGGGGGGATTTAAAATGGCAACTTTTTTACAAAAATTAATTTTTTCAACTTAATTTTTGAAAATGTTCCGGAAAGACTGCGTCCTTTAAACATATATCAAATTAAAGCTTATTTTATGTACTACAAAATGAAAAAAAAAAATTTGTCCCGACACTTTTTTTTCTACATTTAAACGGCTGCCGTAGTTAAAAAAACACTATTTTTGTGTTAAAATTTTCGATTTTCGATTTTAAATTTTCAACTTAAAAATGCTATAACTTTTTGAAAAATGTATATATCAGCACAAATTTTTTTTTTCTAAATACATTATAAGTACATCTTTCATTTGACATACTTTTTATTAAAATTGGACAATTTCCCCTTATATAGGGGGCGTTCAAAACTTAAAATATTGTAAAAAACATAGATCTTTTTCAACTGAACTTTTGAAAATGTTCCGGAAATACTGCGTCCTTTAAACATATATCAAATCAAAGGTTATGTTATATACTATCAAATGAAAAAAAAAAATTTGTCCCGACATCTTATCTTCTATGTGCAAATGGCTGTCGAAAATTTAAAAAAAAATGTAATGTTTGCGATAAAAATTACATTTTATCGGGATGTTTTTTGTACTTAAAACTGCCATAACTTTTTCAAAAATGAACAAATAAAAATAATATTTTTTTGTATTGAAACCTTAGATATTTCCCTTTCATTTGATATAATTTTTTTTGAAAATCTAACACTTATTCTGCTCACTGGGAGGATTTAAAATAGTAACTTTTTTACAAAAAATAACTTTTTCAACTTAATTTTTGAAAATGTTCCGGAAATACTGCGTCCTTTAAACATATATAAAATTAAAGCTTATTTTATGTACTACAAAATTAAAAAAAAAAATTTGTCCCGACGATCTATCTTCTATACGCAAATGGCTACCATATTGAAAAATATACTATTTTTGTATGATAATTAAGGGTTTTGTATTTTATTTTAATAGAAGTTGATGTTGCTTTTGCAATTATCCATCAATTTTTTAAAATTAAACACTATCTAGAGATTTGCATCGAAGCGTTTCTTATGATAGTGATTTGAATCACTGTCAGATTAAATCTATACTGGACCCTACTGCAATGTCTCCACTATGCCGCGACCCCACTGTGCTACCGTTTTTTTAATTACATATATGTATTCTATTATCAATCATTAATACTTTTTAATTAATTCCATATATCATATAGGGGCGTCAACTTTTTTTTTTTTTTTTTTGTAATGGCAACAACAATTTGAATAGTAAAAACAAAATAAAATGTAGTTAAGAAAATGACTGATCTATAACAAATTTTGAACTATTACTTTCGAAATTATTGAATTTTATATTATCATTATAATCTTATATTTTTTAAATATATACTGGAGGAAGATTGTAACAAAGTAATACATAATGACAAAAATAATATAACTTAAATCTCATCTACTCTACATTTTAAAACAGTTATAATTTATAAAATAACAAATCAAAAATTATTAATAACTAGTTATTTTCTTAATTAGATAAATTTTCTATTTTGAAAAACTAACATAATATGTATGTTGCATTAAAAAAACTTAAAAAAAGTTAACACCTTTATAAAGTATAAGAGATGGATTTAAAAATATTTAATATTCAATATCATAGAATCAAAAAATACATAAAACTAAAAATACAAAAATAGATTTTCATAACATATAATTATTTTAAAAAAATCACACGGTATAAATACTACTTATAAAATTTTATCACAGAAATAATAATTACATTTTGATCTATAGGTACTAGCAAGGAAGTGCAATTCGTTGAAACAGAAATTAAAGAATCAAATTTTGAATTATCTGAGTGTACAGACACTGATACTGGAGAATATGAGAATAAAGCAAAAAAATTTAAGCCTGACAAACCAGAAGTGAAAATTCAATTGGATAAGAAGAAAAATCAATCAAAGTCTATAACTAAAAATACAACTCTAGTACAAGACAAAAAACAGTCTTCGTTGACTAATTTTTTTACCAAAAAGTGAAACTACAGTGTAGATAATGTATTAATTGGTAAGATTGTGTTATATGAATAATTAACTAAATTAATATTCCAATAATTCAGTTGTAATAATTGCATAATTTTTTATATATAATACAACAATAACAAAATATTTTTGTAAGAATTTATAACCATTATATAATGTTTCATAAATATGTTAAATATCATTAAATTCTTTCTAAATTAATATTATAATGATGTGCCATTTGAAGTAATGTTTTAATTGATGGTATAAATGATGATATTTTTGAAAACTCTGGACCTGAAACAAGTTGAGTAAGAATATTGAAAGCTTCATTGTAATTTTGTTGCATCACCATATCCAATATTGTATGAATACTTTGAGTACAATAGGATGACAGCTGTAATAATTCAGCATATTTAAGAAACACAAATATTGTCTATTATTATAAATTAAAATTAAAATCAAATTCAACTTAATTGCTTTAAAAAAATTATTTTCATTGAAATTATAAATAATTTTACTTACATTATTTACTCTCAAAGAATCATACAAAATTTCTAATTTTTTTGAAATATCTAATATTCTCTTTTTGTTTTGCTAAAAAAAAAGTATTTAACATTAAAATTTAAATGCAAAATAAATAAGAAAAAAATGTAATTAGTAGTAACAGAAAGTAAAGTTAACTTATTATTAAAAATAACTATTATTTTACAAATAATGTTCACTTATTTATTTTATTTTTCTTCTTCCTTGCCTTAATCCCAACTACTTGAGGTTGGCCACCCTAATTCTAAACCCAACCCAACCTATACTCTCTCTTATATGTTCGTTCCTTATCCTATCTTCTCTAGTCACTCCACTTATCCATCTAAGCTACATCTTATATACTTTCTTATCAACTGCCCAATACTCTGAACCATACATCATAGCTGGTCTCACAACAGTCTTGTAGAATTTATCTTTTAGCCTCGTTGGAATTCTTTTATCGCATAAGACACCAGATGCTTCTCTCCACTTCATCCATCCACATTTAATCCTGTGTCTTACATCCTCATCAATACCACTGCTCTTTTGCACAACTGACCCTAAATACTTAAAACTCTCCACCTCTCCAATCAAATCCTAGCCTATTATCACTGATCTCCCTATTTTACAACCCGTATTCTCTTTTGTCAAACTCATACTCTATATACTGTATCTTACTCCTACTTATTCTTAAACCTATTTCTTCAAGAGCTCATCTCCACACCTCTAGCCTTTGATTTCCTCCCTATTTTCTCTTATTAAAACTATATCGTCAGCAAACAACATGCACAACGGCACCTCTTCTTGTATTTCTCTAGTAATTTCAGCCATCACTATAGAATATAAGTAAGGGCTTAAAGCAGAACCTGTGTGCACTTCTAATCATACCCAATAAAGTAGTATTTATTTTAATAATTTAATAAATATTTAATGGTTAATAATTTATAATGGTAACATTGTTTCCGAAATACGTATCCGCGACTTTTCAGTAATTTTTTGTGGCTTTGAGTTTAATATTTGTAATATTTTTTAGTTTTTAAATTAATAATATTTTTAATGTAATTTTAATTTTATTTAATTATAAGATCTTAAAAAATCTCTTACTGCATTAGGTGCCATGGATAACACATGAGATTGTAAAGCTTCAAAAATATGTTTAATTCTAATATGTTCATGTGGTATTGGTGGTTTAGGTAATGCTTCCACACATTCTGGTGTACTGTTATTGGTATTCTGATCACTTTGAAGTGGTATATATGTACCTATTTCTTGAATAGGAGGAGGATTATTGGTGTACAATGGATGAGTAATGGGAGCAGATGGAACAGGAGTTTGAGGTTTCTTAAAAATTAAACAAAATTATTTAAAACCATTACTTCATACAAAAAATATATTCTTATTACTTTTTGTATTATATCTGAATTTGACAACATTGGTGGGTCATTCCAACCAGCTGGAGTAGATTTTTGAACATAATTATTAAGTAATGGATTAACTTAAAAAAAATAAAACATATTTAATAAAAATTACAAACATATTGTAATAAATTAGCTAATTACTTCCTGGAGGAGTAGAATTAAAATTTGATAATTGATTATAAGCTGAAGGATGAGGTATTGCTGGTTGAGCAATGTTATTAGATTGGAATTGATCAGGTTGAACTGTAGGGATAAATTGATTTAAATTAAGCGTTTGGCCTGTATTATCTGACTGATTTACATGTTGTGGAAATTGAGCTAATGGTTGAATTAGGTTAGTTGGTTGAATATGTGATCTTAATGGGTTTAGAAATTTATAAGTTTGGTCAGTGGTTTGGTTGAAACTATTTTGTTGGAATTGATTATTGTTAAACTGTCCCAATTGATTACTCAACATGTTTTGTGATTGATTGTAACTATTTAGAAGATGAGGCATTCCACCAGAATTATTATTGTAAGCACCATATGAATTTCCTTTAACTGAAGGATCAACTACATATTTTGGTTTACCTATAAACATAAATTTATTTATATTACATTGAATATTTTAAAATTTAATGTTATAAATTATTAAATAGGGTGATCTATTTGTCATAACCCACATAATTACTTACATAATAAAAATAATGTTTGGAATATTTTTTTTAGCATTTATTGTGACATTAAATTAAATATAAAATATATATCATCTCAGAATGAAAAGTTTATGCATTTTAAAAACCCTAAATGAATTTTTGGTTTATTAAATTGATAGTTAACTTAAATAAAAGTTATAAGTTCCATATAACTGTAAGATAATTTTATTTTTAAAAACGGTTACTGAAAATTAAATTATTTAGTTATAGAATAAATAAAATAAAATAAAAATAATTATTTTTATTTATCGTGTCTTACTAATACAATGCATAATTTAAAAATAAATGTATCTAAATAAGGCCAAAAAAAATTTTCTCATTGTTTTCAAGTTATTCAATGTGTCATAATAAACAAACTACTTTGTAAACATATTTCAAATCATTCTCACCAGATTTCAAGCCACTTGGAGTTATTGATCTACTGCTATCATTGTTTAATGGAGGTGTTGATGGTATACGATTAGTAGGTATGTTTGTTTGATTATTACTGACTATTTGAGGTGGCAATGTAATAGGAGAACCATGGTATTTTAATTGTTGTGGATTACCTAAGCTACACATTGATAGTGGTTGAGAAGAATAACTCGTATTTGGTTGCACTGAGTAATTATGAGGTATCTCTTTTTCTGGTAACACTTTATTTGGATATATTGGAAAAGGTGGTTCTGGTGTTATTGTCCCTGTAGCACTACAGGTCGAAAACTTTCTGATAGCATGCATACTCGTTCTTCTCTAAAAATTTAATAAAAAATATTCAATTAAGGAAATACATTTAATAAAAATTTATGTAAACAAATATTTTTTACTTAACTCAAATAAAAATTTGATTTTATCACATTTAATATAATAATATTAAAAATTATTATTTTAATAACTATAAAAAAAAATCAAGTATAATCCTTTGTGTGGTGAACAAATGATTTTACAATGGAAAGAGATGAAAAAAGTTTTATGATAAAAATCATCATGGAAGCATAGCCTTAGAGGTTTTTTACTTGTATAAAGATGTTATGGACTATTAGATATGCATAAATGGCTTACTTTTTAAACATATTTATATTTTAAATATTTAATTTACTTTAGAATAGCACCTATATACAGAGTAATTATTTTAAGGCTAGCCACTCAATTTCTATTAAAATAATGTTTTTCAAAAAATTTTTTTTTGGATTTTAAAGTAACACATGTTTTTCCATTTATCTGTTACAAAATATTTTTAAACACATCCCTTACATATTATGAAGTGTCAATTTTTTTACGTACACATTTAACTAACTTATAAAACAAAAAACTTTAATCTCCAACAACAGTAAAAGAATAATATTTTAAAAATTAATAAAAACTAAGAAAATAATTCTATAGTTTAAGGTATTAATATTTTGAGCATATAAAATTATTTCATTTTTTGTCATAATTACATAAAACAATGAAAAATGTTATATAAATATAACATAATATTTACTTGTGTAGGTTGATTTGAGTAATGAGCAACTTGATTTATTCCAAGAGCTTTGTATAACTGATTTTTAAGTTCAATTCCTTGACTCTAAACAATTATAGAATTGTATATATTAATTTAAAATAATTTTTCAATTTATAAAACTCATACTACAAATGTAATTATCAAAAGATTAAGAAAAGAAAAAATCAATGCGAGTACCTCAATGTATTTAAATAATTTAATATTTTTTTACTATTAAATAATTATAAATAAAAGTTTACTTTGTAATTATATATAAAATATTCAAATTTTGTTGTCTATATATTTTTTTTTTAATGCTTCAATTAATTTTTTTTTTATTTGAATAATTAATAAAAAATCAAATTTATAGAAAGATCTTTAAAAATTTACACCTTCCTTGCAATATATATTTAATGCTATCCCAGGCCCATAGCAACCTCCTCAAAAAGTAGGTTTTTTAATCACTGATACTCCAAGACAAGTGGTTAATTGTTGCCAGAAAGAGGGATGACGACTTTAATTACCGAATTAATCTTTCACTCGGCATATGAAGGCGCCTGTGACAGTTTCAAACTTGAGGCGGCAGTGTGCGTCAACACTGCTACGTTACCGACATGGCAACATAATCTTTTGAAATATTAACAATAAATTTTTGGACAAGTTAAAATTAATGAAAACAATAAATTTTTGTTAAAATCCTTAAAAGATTCTTGCAAAAATTATTTTATTAATTTCGTCTTTTTAATACTTACTAACAGAAATAAAAGTACTTACGTTATTTGTTAACTCTAAAAATTCTAAAGCTCCATTTAAATCCCCTTGAGATACCAAACATTCACTATATTTTACTAATAAATCATTAAAGTTTTTGCCAACTGAAAAATTTGATTCACTAAACATCAATGATTTATGCAGTATAAGTGTAATTTCCACACATTGCTGTAGTTTAGTTACAGAATCAATATAATTTGTATTTTCTATAAAAGCTTCAATATTTCCTGAACTAATAAAGCAAAATTTTGCATATTGTGAATAATTAGAATCGACAGCAAGACGAGAACCAAGTTTCTCAATGCAAGAAACAAACATTTGTCCACTTGTATGAGTAAGAAGAGCAGCCATTATTTCTTTCCAACAGCTTAAATTACAATTTTCGGCAAAATTTTGCCAATTACCTGTCACTATAGTATAAAGAAGAGCAGCATCTAATCCTTCGGTAGTCTATTTCAAATTAAATATATAAATTTGATTAAATTTTCTATCATTATTTTACAGTAACATACTTTAAAAAATTTATTTTGTATTCTAGTTAAGGTATCAGAATCTGAATTATATGCAAGTAACATTGCTTCAACAATATAACCATTATCAAAAAGGATATCAGCTGCCATGGTCTTATTACCAATCAAAAGTAATTGGCAAATATTCATTTGTAAATCTAAATATGCATAAATTTAATTATCAATTAATTTTACGCTTAACTAATTTTATTTAAGATGAGTATACATTTAAATGCTATTATCTGTTTAAAATTAAACAGTTTAAATATTTTTTGAATAATCAGAAAAAAATGTTATTATTTTAGAAATGAGGAATTTGTGCTTACTTATAATTTTAATAATCTTTATTATTGTTAAGTAATTTTTATTTCCTTTTACAGTTCATTAGGAGCCATTGCATTCTCCTTAAGAGAGTTTGCAAAGGCTACAAATTTATAATCATAATGTATTAAAAAATTGATACATACTGCTAGTTGGTATTTTCAAATTTTCAAATTTAGACACAATTTCAGATTCATCAAATTTAAGCAATTTTGGTGAGGATAAATGGTTTTTTATCTAGAAAAAATAAAAAAATAAAATAAATAAAAAATATTATTTTGATTTATTAATATTTGAAAAAGTTATGGCAGTTTTAAGTACAAAAAACATCCCGATAGAAGGTGATTTTTATCGCAAACATTAAATTTCACCAGCCATTTGCACATAGAAGATAAGGTGTCATGACAAATTTTTTTTTTTTCATTTTATAGTATATGACATAACCTTTGATTTGATATATGTTTAAAGGACGCAGTATTTCCGGAACATTTTCAAAAGGTAGGTTGAAAAAGTTAGTTTTTGTAAAAAAGTTGCTATTTTCAATCCCCTCCAATAAGTGTTAAATTTTCAAAAAAATGATATCAAATGAAAGGGAAATATCTAAGGTTTTAGTATAAAAAAAATTATATTGATTTGTTGATTTTTGAAAAAGTTATGGAAGTTTTAAGAAAAAAAAGTGAAAAAAAAATGATAAAATTTACCGATTTTTAAATTTGTAATTTTTTTTGTAAATTTCCCCCATTTGTGAGGAACGAGGGAAAATTTTTTAATTTTTTAGGGTAATGTCTTCAACTAGATACGATTTGTTGAAAGAAATCGGTCCAGTAAGAGCTAAGAAAAAGTAGCGACAGACAAAAAAAATAAACACATCATGGTAAAATTAATACTTTCTCAGCTTAGCATCGAAGCTAAATGTATGTCAAAAAAAAGATACAAGTCTAAGGAATAGCTCAATAAAAATTATTAATGCAAGTTTTAAAAAATTATTTCAATATAAAGTTTTAATTGTAAATATCAAAATTGATAATTTTTGTTAATTGTTTTCTTTTAGAATATTTCTTCATGATATTCTTTTTAAGCAAAAGGAAATTTTAAAAAAAATGGTATTGTATAACCAATATTTTCTTAGTTATGCATCAAGACTAAAAACAAAACATAATCATACTAAAAAATAATATTATTTATTGTTTTATAAATATTGCTTTTAAGTGGTTTTATTATTTTAACTATCTTCTTCTTCTCCTTTTTCCTCGCCTTGATCTCAACTACTTGGGATCGGCCACCTTTATCCTAAACTTCAACTTGACACAAACTCTCACAACATCCGTCCTCATATTTCATTCAATAATATCCCTCCATCCCCTTTTTGGTCTTTCTCTAACTCTTCTTCCTTTAACATTCATTTCTATAACTGTTCTTACAGCTTCCTATTCCTCTCTCCTCATAACATGATGTGCAAAATTTAAAAAACTCTTAACTTTAGAATTATTTTAAATTTTAGAAACTATTTGTACACTACGAATGTAGTTTCACTACCAGAGTTACATGAATTTCTACCAGTACAGACTACTTTGTTTCATAAATTCATACTATCATTAAATCAATAATTTTGATAAATTTGTTCATTCTGTTTTAATTTACGTATAGAAAAAATACTTTATAAATATTCATATTTATTTTAAATATTGTCTAATTGTTTATTCACACAGATTTAATTTCATAATTTTACCTTATTTTCATCAGAGTAATTTCCATTTTGAAATTTTGTTGCAACATCATCCATAATATCTACTGGGTATCCAAGTATTTTTAATTGAACTTCTTTAGGTTTATCTTGAAACATAGAACTTATAAATTCCCAAGTTTGTTGAATATTAGTATCAGTTGTTTTGCATTTTTCATTAAAAAACGTATCATAACATTCATTATTTAGTGTTTTTCTCAAATTTTCAGACCACACAAGCATATCAGGTTCAGTAATGGTTTTGTTTATTTGTACAGTTTTTAGTGCACCATCAAGTGATAACAAATGACCACCAAACTAGAAAAATAAAAAAGGATTTTGTAATTTATAGTCATACTAATTCACATACTACACAATTATTACTGCAAAAGAAGTTTTACAAGTTCGCCTCAACCACTTTGGTGCATTATTCAAATTTCCCCTTACTCCTGTCTAAAAATAGTAAAAATTAATAAATAAAATTAAAATACATAAATTAATATAAATTACATTTATAAATGTATATAGAGAGTTATTATATAACATTATAATTATAGTGTATTGTGTACAATGGCCAGGCAAAATTTATGAAGATTTATTTTTTTATCCTTTACAGCTAGGCTTTTTAATACAGCAATACTAGATTTTTTTTATTTTACCATGATATATATAATAATTAAAAGAAAGTTACTATATATTTTTTATATAAGGCTTTTATACTTATTAAATATTTCATATTTTTTATTTATAGTCATGACATTCAATACTAACTTGATAGTTTTGAACACTTTGTACATTGTTTAACGAATAAAATGTTGTAATCCCATCAAAACTAGATGTTTCTAGTAGTAATGGATCTTTAGGACACCAGTTCACTTCAAAGTTCCATTGATGATCATGTTCTAGATCACATAGTAGTAAATTTTCCTGAAAATGTATAATATAATTTTTTTATAAGTACTTAAATAAAAAGTCATATTTTTCATAAATCTAAAAATTAAAGAAAATAGATACCAAGTAGCATGTTCGTTTCTAAATCATACCTATTAATATTGATTATGATAACACTGCTACCAAACTAATAAGTAGGTAATTTAAAATTTAGTTATTTTTCTTTATTAATAAGTAACTCATAATAATAACTATAATAATAAAAAAATAAAAAAATTTATATTACATCACTCTCACTACTAGGATTCCACAAACATATACGACTATCTTTTCCACAACTTATTAATAAATTTGCATCATGAGAACACCAGGATATTGACAATATACCCCTACAAAATATTAAAAAATTAATAATAAAACAAATAAACTAGCTAAAAAACTTAATAAATTAACTAATTCAAACAATATCTAAAAATTATTGTAATAAGACAATATTAAAGCTGATTTTAATAATGTGAGATTGTTAATTCTACAATACACAGATTATGATTATTAAGTTACTTCAATGTTTACAAACAAACTTGCTTTTCATGGAAATTTAAAATTTTTTAGATATTATCTATATGTAAATAAATATTATATATATTTTATGTTATTATATTATATATAATATTTGTATATAATACAATATTACATATCTCCAGATTTGACAAAATAAGACTTTTATCAATGATAAACCCAACCCAATCAATCAATGATTTAAAAGTTTTGACATATTTACATCTAGATGTACATGTACAGAAAATATTTAACTATAAAAATAATACCCACTCTCACCTCCAGTCATTATTTTAAATTGTGAATAAATTTCAAAATATTGGTCGAAAAATTATTATCGACCAGCCCTTTTGTTAATTAGATCATTATCTATTAAATAAGTTAGTTAATTAGGGATGTTGCTGTTTGAGAAATTAAATTTAACAACTTTATAAGGTAAAAGGGATGAACAAAAAAAACTTTATAGTTGAAAAGATTAAACTAGATGAATTATAAAATAAATAAGTTATACATAATTTTGGTTAAAATAATGCATATGCAGGTAATATTTATACATGTATGTAGGAGTTTAATTTAAACAATTAACATAAATAGTATTCAATATTCAACATTTTTGTTGTTATATAAAAAAAAATATTACTTTTGGTGTCCAATTAAATTTTTAACAGGAGATGATGCATATCGAAGATCCCAGAGTTGAATAACTGGGTATTGATCATCCTCTGATGCAATACATAGTTGAGTGGCTATATTAGGATTCCAAGCCATAGATTTCCATCTTAGCTGTTAAAAAACCATATTATTCATTAAACAATCATTTAAATAAATTAAATAATTTTATATAAGTATATTGGTATACTTTAGTGTTATTGTCATCTGTCAATTTTAAAATAGGTTCATTCTTACGTAAGTCCCATACAACAGTATATTTGTGAAATAATGAACCAAGAATGTGTTGAACTAAAAATATAGATTAATAAAGATTAAGTTCATTTAAAGGTATAATTGCTACTAATGGTATATTTAGAGGATCTAGGGAAAAATCCCTATATTTACTGGGCAAAACATACTTTTAAAGAGAATTTAAAGGAGCTTTAAAATCTTGCAAAAATTTATTAATATGATTAATAAGATTTGAAGTTATTGAGTAATAATTATTTTGGATATTTCCAATGATATTTTGGATTTTACATAAATAAAGAATAAATATTATATTCATAAACTATTTATCTAATAAAACTACATATTATTTTTTTCGAATTGATCAAAATTTGGATTTTAACTAATGCTAATTTAATTTAATATTTAAATGTCATTTATCATTGCTTGAAACTACTTAAGAATAAAAACTTTACTTTAAAGTGCATTAAATATTACATATATATTAAATGGATTTTCTAAATATTAGTGTTATTAATACATGTACCATAATAATATTTAGTATAACTTAATAAGCATTCAAAATTTGTAATAATATTTAAGTCTTAATTATCTATAGTACAAATTAAATAACATGGATTTAACCTTCATTATTCCATGCTAAATCAATAACATCTTCCAAATTATCAGATTTTGAACCAGGAGTCATAGGAGAAGTCATATTAAATAAATCCCAAATAAATATTTCTGATTCTGAAGCACCAGACGCCAATAAGTTTTTCTAAACATAAATAACATTATCACATTATTTAAAATTACATAACATTATTTTAATTAAAACATATTGTTCAATAATAAGCGTGGGTTTTAGTTAACTTAATTATTAAAGTTAAAAAAAAATTCAATTAAGTATATTTTTTAAAATTTTAATCTAGAATTAAGTTTATGTATTAAATTGTCATATAACCAGAATCACATTTGATAGAGAAAGCAGATATTACTCTCAGCATTAGGCAGAAATTTTAGTTCTAGAGTAGGTAAATTCTTAGGTTTTATCAATAATATATATATATATCATTACTAGAGGACACAAAATTTTCAAATGTGTCCCTATTTACAATAGCTTTATATTATTTTAGTGTATTAAAATACTTGGAATGAATTAAAATCAAGAGCCTTCACTGATCCCACATGACGATCACTTGTTGTAATTAAACTATCTTCATCCATAGCCAACTTAGATACATTATAAAGACAAATTTTACCATTATCACAGCCTCCAGCAATAATTCCAGAACTCCATTCGTTATAAATATCATATGCACCCCAAACCAATTTATGAAACCTATTCATAAGTTATTTTTAAATAATTAAAAAATAGACACTTGATATTTCACAAAATCTTACCGACAATCAGTTGATACTGAATGACTTAATGTTATTTCATTAGCATTAACAGTATATAATTCTAAAGTAGAAGATGTACTAAACGAGGCATCCAATTGTTGTGCTGCAGTTCCCGTTGCAATTGTTAATGGTTGGTGGGCTTTTGGAGACCATGCTGATACAACAGTTGTAGGTAACTGTTTAATTTTCATGGTGATATTCAAAGAAACAAAATTTAGATTGTATATCTTATAAATATTAATTTAAAATGTATTCAAATAATTTGATCTAACTACACATGAAAAACACATAAATTACTCTCAAAAAATGATTAGTTATGATAGTTTTATCCTCACATATCATTAAGCCAATTTATAATTTATCCAATATACATTTTAACTTAAAACAATTTACTGAAAATACACGTATTTTGACTAATAAAAGAATTGGAGTATTGTATCTATATCTTCTGGGTTATCAATTTAAAAACCCGTTTAAATGAGTGTGCTCCAGATATCATCTTTTTTCGACGTGGCTTGGATTATGTTGGTAACATAATGATGACATCATAATTTTAGATAAAAAAATTAAAAATATATAGCCACAGCTACAGTTTTATAGTACATTTCAATGTTGAACATATTTATATTGATATAATTAAAGTTATTATAATTGTAAACTCCCTTTTAAACTGCAAAATTCCATACTTATAATTGAACTTAATTCAGTTTTTTTTTTCAAAATAAAAATTGTTATTTTTTTTATTTATAAAATTTACAATCTGTAAAAAAAAAAATTTTACAATAAGTAAATAGTTTAGAAAATATACATATATAAAATACTTAACATTAGTAGCCTGTGAGGTCGCTCCCATTGGAGTCGCCTGCTATTGAAAATTTATATTTAGTTTTATTACATAATATTAATAATAATAATAATAATAATAATAATAGTATATAATGGTATAGTAGTTTGTACAATAATTAGGAGTTTTAATTACGTAATGTTAACAAGATTAAATCATTTATAAAGATAATAGGTCTCTGCACCATTCTCTCTTAAAACGCCTTACTGGATTGCCAGGCAAGGCGTTTGCGCTCAGCATTTGAATTAATCTGTTGGGGTTGGATTCAAGTTTCATCCAGAATCTTTTATAATATAATCTTGCCATTTCTTTAATTGTGTTGAGATGGAGGTCTGAATGTAGGGCCATGTTTGTGACGTACCAGGGCGCCCCGGTTATGATTCTTAAGCAGATGTTTTGGAAACTTTGGATTGTTCTCTGGTTAGAACTTTTTGCAGGTCCCCAAATTATTATGCCATAAGACCATAGTGGTTGGAGTAATGTTTTGTACAATATAATTTTATTTGACAAAGAAATATTTGACTTAAGCAAAGGTCTTAGTAAATGAAGTCTCGAGTTCAGTTTTTTCCTTTTTTCTTTTAAATGAGGACCCCAGGTTAACCTTCGGTCAAAAATTAACCCTAGGTATTTAACCACGGTTGAATGAGGAATAATAATGTTATTAATAGTAACTAATGGGCAGTCATGTTTTTTAAGAGTGAATGTAATGAAAGAAGATTTTGACTCATTTATTTTGACACGCCAGGTCTTGAACCAAAGCGAAAGCATATTTAGATATACTGGTAACTGTTGACTGGCAACTTTATGATCTAATAAAGATGATATTAAGGCCGTGTCATCAGCATAGGTACCAAGTACTGTTGTATCCGATAAAGGTAGATCAGATGTATATATTGTGTACAAGAATGGCGCAATATCGCTACCTTGAGGCACACCAGCATATATTGGGTACAATGGGGAGTGTTGGAGATTATGACGGACTTTAAAATAACGGTTTTGCAGGTATGATTTGAGTATGAGGTAATAAGGAGCTGGGAAAATTGTTATTTCGTTTATAAATCTTATTTTAACGTACACATTACTTTTTTATTTTCTTTAATGAAATAATTTAAGTTTCTAATATTGATTATAATCATTTTTTAATACTGAAATGATTATCTATTAGAGTACAACGTGATAATATAATAATATAAAATGAGAGGACGTTAGTCTGATTTAAGTGGTTAACTCATATAGTTGTGGAAAATGGTAAAAAAAAAAAAAAAAAGACAAATTGTTTATATCAAAATATTATTTATTTTATAAAACTGAGTATAATAACACAGAAGTACAAATTTTCATTTATACTTATTTTTTCAAATAAAAATTTTCCATTTTTTTTAAATCAAATTTTTCTGTTGGCTAATCTTAAAATTTAAGATTATCATTTTTAATACGCTAAAAATTTATTTTCAAAGAAATCTATTATTAAACTTTCAAACAAGTTTTAATTAAATTTGATTACATCATACATTACAATTATTTTGTTTAATTTAATTTATGTTTGAAGTATTGTTCTAACTACAAATCAATGATTCTAAATTTAAAAAAAAAACCAGCACAGGGGGGTCGCGGCACAGTGGTGACGTGGCATAGTTGGATCAAGTATAATGATATCTGACAGTGATTAAAATCACTATAAAAAAAAAACGCTTCGATGCAAATCTTTAGATAGTGTTTAATTTTAAAAAA